ATGGTGGTTATGAAAATGTAGCAGCTGGCTACAGTTTGAACTATAGTTCAACTGTGCTCTCCACGTTACAGCCTGTTGAAGACAAACATGAACAGTGCAACTCTGTAGCTTTTATATTAGTCTGGGTCCAATAGAAGACAGGTATGGCATAGTATTTTAAACAGTGGAAGTTTAATGGGGCTCCTGGGTGGCTTAGTCAGTTAAGTGTCTGACTTCGGCTCAGGTCTTGATCTCATGGTTTGTGAGTTGGAGTCCTGCACTCACAGCGAGGAGCCTGCTTGGGATTCTCTTTCTCCCTCTCTCTGCCCCTCTTCCACTCATGCACTCTCTGTTTCTCTCAAAATTAAAAAAAAACACACACACACAACAAAAGTGGGAGTTTAATATAAAGAATTACAAAACTATGATGGGATAGTAATTAAAATACCGAAAGAGTTCTGAAGGGTATCCTAGGGCTGAAGGACAGTACCACAAAAGGACTAACTTGGGGGGTGTTCAAATTTATTGAAGAAGGTATGATTGCAACACAATGAATAGCAGAGAAGTTTGAGTCCTGTATGTCTGACTTCCTCTGTGCATCCAATTACTAACCTCAACGCCTCTGTGTCCCAGTAGGTTGTTACTGTTTCCCTGGAGACTGAGAAGTGGACTTGGCCTATGTTCTGGTGTGCTGTGTTTTCCTTCTTGCTGTTCTTCTGCACCAACATCAGAAGGACTCTGCCCTTGCTATGCACTCCCAGAGCATGCGGTCCTGACCCCAGCCACTGATCCTTCTAACCTGGATACCATGCCCCTGGGAAAATCCTCTTGATACCCTACTCTCTTTGTGCACCCAGTCCTCAGCCTGAACTCTGCTATATCCCAAGGTGTTTGCTGCACCCTTCTGGACATGGATATGATACACTGGAGGCCGTGCACTGCTCTGCTGGTAGGTGGGCTCTTGAGCCCTGACACTCTCTATACATTCATCTGTCAGACTGGGCTCCCTGCATTCCTGGAGAACATTTCTTGCTTGCTTGATGACTAGCACGGACCAGCTTTGGCCTAGGCAACTCAGTGAACTGCAACCACACCTTCTTCAGTGAGGTTTGAATCCCAACCTTGGGGTTTGGGTCACCCATTTGGGTAATCTTTCTTGGGTAATCTTGCACCCAAGGGTATTTAGACACCTCTCACCTTTATAGTCAATCTACTGTTATAGTTAATAATTGTTTATATTAATTAATTGTTTATTAATTGTTAATAATTGTTTGTTCAAATTACCAATAAGTAGTTTCTCTCCTGATTGGATCCTCACTGATACATTATCCCTTCCTTCTAGAATGTGCTCTACTGGCTAACCCCTATTCATTCTTTAAGTTTTAGCTTTTTTTTTAAAGTTTATTTATTTTGAAAGAGACAGAGACAGAGAGAGAACATGTTGGGGAGGGGCAGAAAGAGAGGGGGGGACAGAGAATCCAAATCAGGCTCTGTGCTGATGGCACAGAGCCTGATGGGGAGCTGGAAGTCAAGAACCATGAGATCATGACCTGAGCCAAAGTTGGACACTTAACCGACTGAGCCACCCAGGTGCCCCTAAGTCTTAACTTTCATAGTACTTCTTCCTGTGCATCATTCCCTGGCTCACTATCCTCATCTTCACATAACTCTGTTGGCCCTTTGTACTCACCCTAAATGTGGCACTAAATATAACTCACCTCCCTCCCTGAACACAGGAATGCCATGTTTGTTATTTCTTCATTGATTTTCTCTCACAATGTTAGAATAAAGAAGGTTCTCAATACATGTTTCTGTTTTAACTTTATGGCCCCCTTGATGTGGTTCTTCCTGGTCAGGGATCTGCAGTGACACTGGCAGATCAGCCTCAATACACTTAAGCCCTCATATTGTAATCATGGTTTAATTACAATATAGTTTGTTTTCCTCCATAGATACAGTGGAATGCAAGGGAAGACACATCCAAAAGATGGAGTGAAGCAGCTGTGGAAAAGCATTTGATGAATTTCTTGGTAACTCGTTTTCTTTCTTTCTTTCTTTCTTTCTTTCTTTCTTTCTTTCTTTCTTTCTTTCTTT